CCACAGCTATCTGGCATGGTTTGATTGTTATTTATTTAAATTCATTCACTTGAGCGAATTTTTTCATGGCAATACAAGCCTTGCTATAATTCCATAGTTTTTTGAGATAGCAATCACTGGGGCTACTGAGATTACAATAATTACATTTTATCTATAACATTTGTTTACAGTCGATTAATGTCAGTTATTGTGTTTATTTTATTTTAACTAATTTCATAAAAAACTATTATTTTATTTTTCAAAAAGTAATTTTGATGACCATATCACAATCAGTGGGATGGTAAGATGAGGACAAGTTTTCAGTAATCTATCAGCAGAGGCTAGTAATGTGAAAAAAGGTGACTCATTAAATTTTAGTACTTCTTTCCCATTTTAAGGAGGATTTATCGCAAATGCAAAGGTTTTGAATAATGAAAGTTACAAAAATGTTTCAAATACAATTGAAAATTAATGAGTTGCCTTTATTCATATTACTAGTCTTGGCTGATTTTACGTACCTAAAACAATAGATTAGGCCTATCTAATTTGAATTTCTAGATCTAGGCCTAATTTAAAATCTAAATATTAATATACGAAAATGTTAGGCCGCATTTGGGCAGATCACAAAGCAATCCGCTAAATCTTTTCTCTAGGTTGGACGAGATCTAAAAAATAAAAATGCCTAATAGTAATATAAAATAATCAAGACTGCCCATAGTAAATGATAGTTTTAAGTGTTTTAAAGTTTTAAACTGGACCTGAATTTGTATAAAATGTATATTAGGTTAGAATTTGTCCTACGGAATTTAAAAAAATACTAGATTCTAGATCTAGACTCTAGATCTATTTTATATAAATAGGCCTACTCGGAACGTTCGGCGATCAGCAGTAGTGATACTGATACTGATGGTGGTGGTAGTCACTTCGTAAAACGCTAAGTTAGGCCTAAGTATTAATTTTAGTATTAAAGAACTTGGGAAGTAGTGTTTTCCTTAGCTGGCGTATTCGACAAAGGCAAATACATTGCGCTAAAATGTAGCTTAACCACAATAACCAAATTCTGAATTTTAGGGTCTTCTTTAGTATTCTAGAATCTAGGTCTTTACCTCCAGTTACTTAGAATTTGTTGTTGTGATGAACCACAATAAAAACGAAAATACGGAAACAGAATTCTTCTGCTTTGTAATAACATATTCTAGGCTAGGCCCCTAATTGAAAATGAATTCCTAATTATATTTCGCCTAATAAGTAGATCTAACTAGGCAAGTTGGATACAAGAAAAAAACTTTGATTTTTCTAAACTAATATTTTACTATTTATCTAGATCTAGGGAACCATATCTAGATCTAGTAGAGGTCTATTTATGTTTTTACTCAATATGTTTGAAATTTAAAACATGGGATAGATGAGTGATCTAGTACGGGGCCCTACTGCAACCGAGTCAAAATAATCCATAATAATAATATTTAATAATTAAAATTTAATAGGCCTAATGCCATGGCCTAATGCCTAATACTGATTAGTGATAAGTGTAATTAGCCTAATTTAATTAATTAGTATTAACTATTAGGCTTCGGCTATAGAACGTAGTTTTTAGTTTTTACATACATCGGCCTATCTCTAAAAATACTCTAATCTATTATCTATCTATTTATATTAGGCTAGTAATTATTGCATAGAATTTAGAGGCATTTGTCAGTCATTAAAGTTGATTAAAGTAGTTTCTAGTTTACATGCAACTTTTAGAATTTGTTTTAATTAATTATTATTAGGCTAATTAATAATTAATTAAATCAATTAAATTAGCCTAGGCCTAGACCTACTAATTATAATAAACTAGACTGGAAACAATTTTTCGACTTACATCGGTAGCCGCCCTACACTTTCGAAGGTAATTACAAACTTCAATATTTAAGAATTTGTTAATGATTTTATAATTATAAGAAACCAAGTGGGATAATATTTAGAATCAACCCTTTGAATCCCTGGCAGAATGAACCCTTGGCATAACTTCAAACTGACAGTACATGGTATATGGTACAAAGTGTCGTCCATAAATTACATCACACTGGTAGGGGGAGGGGGTTGTAATTTCGTAAGAGTGTGTGATGAGTGGGGGGGGGGAGGGGAAATGGGGGTTCAGATGGTGTGACATCACACTTTTCCATTATAAAAAAGCATTGTTAGAAAAGGAGTTTCAGTTTCAGCCATTATTTTGCGTTTTAAAAAATTGTTTTAATATATTGTAATAGGAATTGATTAAAATACTCTATGTTGACAGAGTTCAGACACGATTTTGGAAAAATATTGATGTTTTAAGAAACGTTCAACTGCAATTTTGAGGGGGGGGGGGGGGGGTTGTAGGCTGAGGTGTGAGTCATTTTACTGGGGTGGGGGTGGGGGGGGGGGGGGGTCTGGCTTTTTGTGACAATGTGTGACAGTGGAGGGGGGGGGGGGAGATAAAAATCATCTCAAAAATCGTAATGTCATTTATGGATGACCCCCAAGTGAAGTTCCCCTGTTTCTGTGACTTCAGCACATGAAGGGATTATGTGGTCAGCACTATGCCGAGCCTCCTTTTCCCCAATGTGAGTAAGGTACCCATCAGAGCTTGATGGAATCAGGGACTCGAGATATTTGGGTTAGCAGTCATATGCACTACCATTTGATCACTCTGTCCCACACTTTATACTTTATAAGTATAAAAAATCCAAAAATAGTACTGGGCTTAGCAGGCTATTAATAAATTATTGATAATAATATTATTAATATACTTAGCCAGAGGCGTAGCGAGGGGGGGTTGGGGGGGGGACATATGTCCCCGGGCACCGACCTTAGGGGGGGCGCCACATTGAAAGTTTGAGGGGGGGTGCAAATCAAAAGTTTGTCCCCGGGCGCCGGGAGGGGTCGCTACGCCTCTGTACATAGCCTATTACATAAATCATTTTTATAATTTATATTTTTATAAAACAATTTAACAAATAGAAGAAAACCTTTATAATAATACATCTAAATTTTAAATGCATTGAAAATAAGTAAATAAAACAAATTTGCTTTCTTTAATAAAGTTGTCAACACTTAGACTGCAACTAAAAATATTTGATCAGTAGCTTGCAATCTCTACCTAAAAGACAATTATTTGATCAGTGGCTTGCAATCTCTACCTAAAAGACAATTATTTGCTTCTTCTTAGTCTGCCATCAATGCTTAGGCAAGAAATCACTCAGCTGTTAAAAAACAGTTCACCATTGACAGTTAACTGATCAAGTGGTTTGCTAGTATTTATCTTATTATCTTTCCATTTATTACTAAATTTATTCATTTTTAAATTATGTTTAATGATTGTCACTAATCTAATGTCTAATTAGACTAAAAAAATAGACATTCTTGCATTGTCACCAGAGATTAAAGTATCTGGAAAGTTTGAACGAAATCACTGCATTAGAAGTTAGTCAAAATTGAATCACAAGATTTGCCACATCCTACAAACAAAAAACAAACCAACGTTGTTAACCATATGAAAGCATAATATAAAAATTAATTATATTATATCCAAACATATCACTAAATTAAATTTACCAAGCCTCTGTTAAAATTGTTCAATGTAAAACTTTCTTAATTAAACTTCCCCTAGTCACAAAAGTACTTAGGTGTGATATCATTTATGGATGACCCTCTACATCTTTTTGCTTGTCTAAAAGCCTCTGGCCATAGAGTAGATCTAATATAATATCAGATGTAACAAGTAACCTTCAGTGTTATAACCAACATAATGTCTGGCAGAAATATGTTGGCAAACATCACTTGATACAAAGCTGCACTATAACCCCTGCTGTAAATGACAAAAACCATTGTCATGATGCTGTTACTGTATAGTGATTACCCTTGATACTGTTACTGTATAGTGATTACCCTTGATACTGTTACTGTATAGTGATTACCCTTGATACTGTTACTGTATAGTGATTACCCTTGATACTGTTACTGTATAGTGATTACCCTTGATACTGTTACTGTATAGTGATTACCCTGCTTATGATTGTATCAGTGCAGAAATGGCCTACTGGAATAATTGATAACTATTATACCTTGTCTTGGCCTAGGTCCCCATCATTATTAAGTCAACAAACATTTATGCCTTTTGAAATGATAAGCCAAGTACAAATTGCCTACAAAGTCTAGAAAAAACTTTAGCCTCCTATTTGGAGCCTAAACACTGAAGACTCTCAGTAATATTAGACTTATCAATTAATTGTGAAATCTAGACCATAGGACACCACACTACATTAGGACTAATGTAACAACAGCAACCCACTGAGCTGAACTTTAAATATTTCTTTGAACTGTGTGTAGGTACTATACCTTAGGGTGCTGAGCTGAACTTTAAATATTTCTTTCAACTGTGTGTAGGTACTATACCTTAGGGTGCTGAGCTGAACTTTAAATATTTCTTTCAACTTTGTGTAGGTACTATACCTTAGGGTGCTGAGCTGAACTTTAAATATTTCTTTCAACTGTGTGTAGGTACTATACCTTAGGGTGCTGAGCTGAACTTTAAATATTTCTTTCAACTTTGTGTAGGTACTATACCTTAGGGTGCTGAGCTGAACTTTAAATATTTCTTTCAACTTTGTGTAGGTACTATACCTTAGGGTGCTGAGCTGAACTTTAAATATTTCTTTGAACTTTGTGTAGGTACTATACCTTAGGGTGTGGCATGATGGCGTCTGCTTCACTGGATGGCAGAACTGGAGACGAGATAGTCAACCTACGGCTGACCATGGTCCAGGGGGATGGGGATAAAGCCAATAATATTTTTGTGTATGGTAGAAGGAAAGATTGTACAGAGCATATCATTTATTTTGGCGGAGACGTGCAGGTAACCAAGCTAAACATTTTTATTTTTAAAGCATATTTTACACTTCTATTGGCATATTATATTGGTTAAAATTTATCATCAGATCTATATAGAACTATAATTTTAAATTGCATGCATTATACATGTTTATATCAGCTAACACTGATTAATTATTTCCAGGATTATCCAGAAAATATGGAGCTCCATCGAGACAACAAAAGATATCTACAGTGGAACACAGAAAACACAGCAAAGATCATACACAAAAAATTTCCAAACTCTTTAATTTTTGTTGTCAAACCAACGCGCATGCACCTACTGACTTTTGCTGTGTACTCCAACTTTTTTCAAACCAACGACTTTGGCAGCCCAAACCATTGTGGTGACCACGGGGCCATCAGGCACTTGTCTGCCCTCTACAGGTCAGCTCTTGGTGAGGTGTACGCAGACAGTCAGCAAGAACCAGCCACAGATCTACCTCTTCATCTCATTGGCTTCAGCAAGGGATGTACTGTACTCAATCAAGTGCTTTTTGAACTACATTTGCTAGAAAACAACGGCGAGGTCAAAAACTTTCTCAAGAAAATCAAATCTTTCTACTGGTTGGATGGGGGGCACAGTGGTGGGAAGGACAACACCTGGGTGACAGACGACAGTGCGTTACGTCTGCTGGCGTCACTCGAGTGCCACATCTACATCCACGTGTCACCGTACCAGGTGGGGGACCCCATGAGGAAGTGGATAGGGCAGCAGGAGGGCAAGTTTTACAAGAAGCTGCTCACCTACAAGGCCCAGGTACAGGAGAGACGTCACTTTGAGACAGAACCAAGTAGCATCGAGAACCATTTTAAAGTCCTAGAAGAATTTTAGCTTATTCAAGGAATTTTTTATAGCTACAAACTGTTAGTGTAAAGTCTGACCAATTAAACATTCAGCCATATCCATCTAGCTGCAGCCAGCAGCCAGCCATATCCATCTAGCTGTAGCCAGGAGCCAACGATATCCAGCTAGCTGTAGCCAGCAGTCAGCTATATCCAGCTAGCTGTACCAAGTCAGCCAGCCAGTCCAGCTAGCTGTAGCCAGCAGTCAGCCATATTCAGCTAGCTGTACCAAGTCAGCCAGCCATATCCAGCTAGCTGTACCAATTCAGCCAGCCAGTCCAGCTAGCTGTACCAAGTCAGCCAGCCATATCCAGCCAGCCATATCCAGCTAGCTGTACCAAGTCAGCCAGCCATACCCAGCTAGCTGTACAAAGTCAGCCAGCCAGGCCAGCTAGCTGTACCAAGTCAGCCAGCCATATCCAGCTAGCTGTAGCCAGCAGTCAGCTATATCCAGCTACCTGTAGCCAGCAGCCAGCCATATCCAGCTAGCTGTACCAAGTCAGCCAGCCATATCCAGCTAGCTGTAGCCAGCAGCCAGCCATATCCAGCTAGCTGTACCAAGTCAGCCAGCCATATCCAGCTAGCTGTAGCCAGCAGCAAGCCATATCCAGCTTGCTGTACCAAGTAAGCCAGCCATATCCAGCTAGCTGTACAAAGTCAGCCAGCCAGGCCAGCTAGCTGTACCAAGTCAGCCAGCCATATCCAACTAGCTGTAGCCAGCAGCAAGCCATATCCAGCTAGCTGTACCAAGTCAGTCAGCCATATCCAGCTAGCTGTACCAAGTCAGCCAGCCATATCCAGCTAGCTGTACCAAGTCAGTCAGCCAGTCCAGCTAGCTGTACTAAGTCAACCAGCCATATCCAGCTAGCTGTACCAAGTCAGCCAGCCAGTTCAGCTACCTGTACCAAGTTAGCCAGCCAGTCCAGCTAGCTGTACCAAGTCAGCCAGCCATATCCAGCTAGCTGTACCAAGTCAGCCAGCCAGTTCAGCTACCTGTACCAAGTTAGCCAGCCAGTCCAGCTAGCTGTACCAGCTTGATCTAACTGCTGTCAAGTGATGGATGCATCATAATTATATTGTTTTATTGTTAAAGTTAAAGCTTTATACATAATTTTGCTACCATCTTCATTTCTTTAAACAATATTTCAGATAAAATGTTTACAAATGTTTCATTTTTCTGTAATGTCTACACAATCATTTTGTGTTGTTGTTGAAGTGTTATTGTTATTGGTATTAAAGTTATTGATATAATAATACTTATTACATTTTGAAATGTCAGTTTTCTAAAGATTGTTTATTTCTTGGGTTTAAAAATTATCACAAAAATGGTGTTGAGTGTTTTCTAACATTTACATTTTTTCATATCCATATGAAAGACTGTCACGTGAGATTATTTAGCTAATTACATTTGCGTTTTCCAAAGTTTGATGAATTGTTGTCTCTAAGGGACTTAAGCGTTTAAAAAGGTTTAATTTACTGAATTACCTCCCTTGCACCACGAAGAAAAATATACAGAATGTGAAGCTTTTCCACCTCAATTCACTGTCAATATTTTTAAAATCTATATATTTGTAGATTTGATCTGTTTTGTTGTCTAAAGGAGTGTGTTTTTATAATTTGGTTTGTCCAAAACTTGGTATACTCGTTTCCTGTTAAAACAATTCATTTCCCAACTTTAATCTATCTATCTATATACTACTAAAAGTCAAGTTTGTTTACATGTTTGAATATTTATTTTTTTGTTTGTTTTTTTGTTTGTTTGTTTGTTTGCCTGATCAACTATTGTGATATGTTCGACTCAATCTGGATAGCTGTAAAATAGTATGTAGGTAGAGAATAATTTTTTAATGCAGACAGACTGTTAATCACAAATTTATTTAAAGACGTTAATTAATTTATTGATTTATTCATAGTTAAATTAACCGTATTTTTAAAAAAATGTTAATACTTTGAATAAACTTTGTGGGGATAGTGACGTCCCTTGATAAGTTGATATGTTAACTTTTTGGTACGATAAAAATGGCGGACTCCATCATAGACTTTGTGGCCCATTCAAAAGTTTAACGCGTTACAAAGCTAATTTTCTGCCGGCTCTAACTTAAACAATACGTCCGTTTGCTGTATTTATTACGTTCCAACACTTATATCAATTTTCAACTGTCTTTTTCATTTAGTTTTACGATAAATTTCTCTAGATCTAAAGATCAGCTGTCGAAGGAAATTTATGAATCTAGCCTAGATCTAGATCTAGCCTAGATGTAGGTCACTAGATTCAATGTAAATTCTAGATCTAGACTTAATGTAAATTCTACATCTAGAATCTATTTCAGGCCTTAATTATTTTATATAAATCTTTGTTTGGCTTATTTAAGATAAAATTTAATTTGAAAGTTAGTACTACTAGACTTATTTTTAGATCTAGATCTAGAATCTATACGCGTAAATCAAGTTGCATAAGGAGACACATAGTATAGTATAAAAATTCACTTGTGACGTCACGAGTAAATAGCTAAAATGGTAGCGTAGTCAGCTCTCATGCAGGAGGCACGGGTTCTAGACCAATATGTCATTGAAATTTTTTTTTCAATTTTTTTTTTTAGATGTGAATGATAACGTTGCCTATCTGAACTTGGCAAGATACAGGGCAGGTGAAGTAGAGTTCATCTGTTTCTTTGTCCTAAGCATATGAAAGGATAGTGTGGTCAGATACATGCTCGGCTGGAATTGTTTTTTAAACGATAAAAACATGTTGTCTGAGACTTGGCAGGACACTGGGCAGGTGAAGTAGAGTTGAGTAGGTCACCTGTGACGTCAGTTTATGAAGGGATAGTCCGAAATCGGTGTTTTCGGTGTTTTTAAAAGATAAAAAACATATATTTGAATGTGGGGTCTGTTTTTTGTGACGATAAGTGACACTGCAGTAGCGTACCGAGGAGGGGGGGGGGACGGTAGGGGAGGGGAGGCGGGGGGTGGGGGGGGGGGGGGAAGGGGAGGCGGGGGGTGGTGAGGGGGAAGGGGGGGGGCATATGTTAGGGCGCCAAAATGGTTTGGAAAAATAAATTGATAGGTTGAGGGGGGTTCAAATCGAAAGTTTGAGTGGGGGGGGGGGGGTGCACATCAAAAGTTTGAGGGGGGGGGGGGGTTCAAATCGAAAACTTTGTCCCCGGGCGCCGGGAAGGGTCGCTATGCCTCTGAGTGACAGACGTGATGTTTTTTGATGGATGACCCCCGAAACCCACAGTTATCCAACGGATGACGGGTATTCTAGTATACTACTAAAAGTCAAGTTTGTTTACATGTTTGAATATTTATTTGTTTTTTTTTTTGTTTGTTTGCCTGATTGACTATTGCTCATGGTTGCACTCATCGTGGAAAGCTGTAAAATAGTATGTAGGTAGAGAAAAATTTTTGTTTTAAGACAAACTGTTAATCACAAATTTATTTAAAGACGTTAATTAATTTATTGATTTATTCATTGTTAAATTAACCGTATTTTTTTAAAAATGTTAATACTTTGAATAAACTTTGTGGGGATAGTGACGTCCCTTGATGTGTTTACATTTTTGGTACAATAAAAATGGCGGACTCCATCATAGACTTTGTGGCCCATTCAAAAGTTTAACGCGTTACAAAGCTAATTTTCTGCCGGCTATAACTTAAACAATACGTCCGTTTGCTGTATTTATTACGTTCCAACACTTATATCAATTTTCAACTGTCTTTTTCATTTAGTTTTACGATAAATTTCTCTAGATCTAAAGATCAGCTGTCGAAGGAAAGTTATGAAGCTAGCCTAGATCTAGAATCTAGATCTATCTAGATCTAGCCTAGATGTAGGTCACTAGACTCAATGTAAATTCTAGATCTAGACTTAATGTAAATTCTACATCTAGAATCTATTTCAGGCCTTAATTATTTTATATAAATCTTTGTTTGGCTAATTTAAGATAAAATTTAATTTGAAAGTTACTACTACTAGACTTAGATCTAGATCTATGCGCGGAGACTCAAAAGTATAGTATAAAAATTCACTTGTGACGTCACGAGTAAATAGCTAAGCTGGTAGCGTAGTCAGCTCTCATGCAGGTGGTACGGGTTCTAGACCAATATGTCGATGAAATTTTTTTTTCAATTTTTTTTTTTTAGATGTGAATGATAAAGTTGCCTATCTGAACTTGGCAAGATACAGGGCAGGTGAAGTAGAGTTCATCTGTTTCTTTGTCCTAAGCATATGAAAGGATAGTGTGGTCAGTGACATGCTCGGCTGGAATCGTTTTTTAAACGATAAATACATGTTGTCTGAGACTTGGCGGGACACTGGGCAGGTGAAGTAGAGTTGAGTAGGTCACATGTGACGTCATTATATGAAGGGATAGTCCGAAATCGGTGTTTTCGGTGTTTTTAAAAGATAAAAAACATATTTTTGAATGTGGGGTCTGTTTTTTGTGACGATAAGTGACACTGCAGTAGCGTAGCGAGGAGGGGGGGGGGCGGTAGGGGAGGGGAGGCGGGGGGGAGGGAAGGGAAGGCGGGGGGGAGGGAAGGCGGGGGGGGAAGGGGAGGTGGATGGGGGAAGGGGGGCGGGGGGGGGGGACATATGTTGGGGCGCCAAAATGGTTTGGAAAAATAAATTGAAAGGTTGAGGGGGGTTCAAATCGAAAGTTTGAGTGGGGGGGGGTGCACATCAAAAGTTTGAGGGGGGGGGGGTTGAAAATCGAAATCTTGGGGGGGGGGTTAAAATCGAAAAGTTTGTCCCCGGGCGCCGGGAAGGGTCGCTCTGCCTCTGAGTGACAGACGTGATGTTTTTTGATAGATGACCCCCGAAACCCACAGTTATCCAACGGATGACGGGTATTCTAGTATACTACTAAAAGTCAAGTTTGTTTACATGTTTGAATATTTATTTGTTTTTTTGTTTGCCTGATTGACTATCTCGCATGGTTGCACTCATCGTGGAAAGCTGTAAAATAGTATGTAGGTAGAGAAAAATTTTTGTTTTAAGACAGACTGTTAATCACACATTTATTTAAAGACGTTAATTAATTTATTGATTTATTCATACGCAGAGTAACCCATTTTTTTTTAAAAGTTTAGAACGACCACTACACTCGGCGGGACCGTGACGTCACAGTTTTTTGTTTACTCTTTAGTACAATAAAATGGCGGCGTCTATCGAAGAAAATTGTGTTCCCATTCAAAAGTTTAACGCGTTCTAAATCTAATTTTCTGTCGGTCATAACTTTAACAATACGTCCGTTTGCTGTATTTATTACGTTCCAACACTTATATCAATTTTAAACTGTCTTTTTTCATTTAGTTTTACAATAAATTTCTCTAGATCTAAAGATCAGCTGTCGAAGGAAAGTTATGAATCTAGCCTAGATCTAGATCTAGATCTAGCCTAGATCTAGGTCACTAGACTCAATGTAAATTCTAGATCTAGACTTAATGTAAATTCTACATCTAGAATCTATTTCAGGCCTTAATACATCTAGAATCTATTTCAGGCCTTAATTATTTTATATAAATCTTTGTTTGGCTAATTTAAGATAAAATTTAATTTGAAAGTTACTAGATTCTACTACTAGACTTAGATCTAGATCCATGCGCGGAGACTCAAAAGTATAGTATAAAAATTCATTTGTGACGTCACGAGTAAATAGCTAAGTTTGTAGCGTAGTCCGCTCTCATGTGGGTGGTACAGGTTCTAGACCAATATGTCAATGATATTTTTTTTCAATTTTTTTTTTTAGATGTGAATGATAGAGTTGCCTATCTGAACTTGGCAGGATACAGGGCAGGTGAAGTAGAGTTCATCTGTTTCTTTGTCCTAAGCATATGAAAGGATAGTGTGGTCAGAGACATGCTCGGCTGGAATCGTTTTTTAAACGATAAAAACATGTTGTCTGAGACTTGGCGGGACACTGGGCAGGTGAAGTAGAGTTGAGTAGGTCACATGTGACGTCATTATATGAAGGGATAGTCCGAAATCGGTGTTTTCGGTGTTTTTAAAAGATAAGAAACATATTTTTGAATGTGGGGTCTGTTTTTGTGACGATAAGTGACACTGCAGTAGCGTAGCGAGGAGGGGGGGGGGGGGCGGGGGCGGGAGGGGAGGCGGGGGGGGGGGGGAGGGGAGGCTGGGGGGGGGAAGGGGAGGCGGGGGGAGGTGGAGGGGGGGCGGGGGGACACATGTTGGGGCGCCAAAATGGTTTGGAAAAATAAATTGAAAGGTTGAGGGGGGGTTCAAATCGAAAGTTTGAGTGGGGGGGGGGGGGGGGTGCACATCAAAAGTTTGAGGGGGGGGGGTTGAAAATCGAAATCTTGGGGGGGGGGGGTTAAAATCGAAAAGTTTGTCCCCGGGCGCCGGGAAGGCTCGCTATGCCTCTGAGTGACAGACGTGATGTTTTTTGATGGATGACCCCCGAAACCCACAGTTATCCAACGGATGACGGGTATTCTAGTTAACATCTAATTATCAATATATTTTGGAAAACAAATTCGTTACTACATAGCTTTAGCTTTTTATAGAAGTATTAGATAGCTTACACTTTACGGTGAGGGGTAAATTTCTAGATTTGTTTTGTAATAAGGGAGCAGTAAACCATGAACGTTTCCCAAAACGTGTGATGGGGTAGAGGGTAATATAAAATTACTTTCTCGTATACAGAGTGTATAAGCAGCGCCGGCCCTGTGCATAAGGGAAGTAGTGTAATCGTGTACAAAAATTCAACGAAATTTGAATAGTTTTCGCCGCTTTTAATTAACTTTCCGCCTCTGTATGTGTGTGTGTGTATGTAAACACAATAACTTTAATAGTAATAATAGCGTTTCTGTTGTGTCGACCAAATTTAGTATGTAACTATTACATCAAATTTGTAGTTTTCTATCAAGTTGGGAACGATTTCCTGTATCAACCGGGACATTCGAGCAAGTGGGGGAGATAGGGCATACGGAAGGGGAGAGAATAAGATCACGAGGAAAGCACAAATAAAGAGAGCCGCTCACTGAGACGTGTGGCTGCAGCACTTTGCTTTAGTTTGTTACAAAAATAACGAATGACGCAACCATCTCTAGATTATTTTAGCGATACGAGCTCACCCATTTGGCCGATGTTCTGGGAAATACGAATATTAATTTAGCGATTGTTGCGTCACACGAAGGCACGTGTCACTGTCATCTTATATGACATCAGGCTCAGTTCATATGTCAGGACGTGTCATCTTATATGACATCAGGCTCAGTTCATATGTCAGGACGTGTCATCTTATATGACATCAGGCTCAGTTCATATGTCAAGACGTGTCATCTTATATGACATCAGGCTCAGTTCATATGTCAGGACGTGTCATCTTGTATGACATCAGGCTCAGTTCATATGTCAGGACGTGTCATCTTATATGACATCAGGCTCAGTTCATATGTCAAGACGTGTCATCTTATATGACATCAGGCTCAGTTCATATGTCAGGACGTGTCATCTTATATGACATCAGGCTCAGTTCATATGTCAGGACGTGTCATCTTATATGACATCAGGCTCAGTTCATATGTCAGGACGTGTCATCTTATATGACATCAGGCTCAGTTCATATGTCAAGACGTGTCATCTTATATGACATCAGGCTCAGTTCATATGTCAGGACGTGTCATCTTGTATGACATCAGGCTCAGTTCATATGTCAGGACGTGTCATCTTATATGACATCAGGCTCAGTTCATATGTCAGGACGTGTCATCTTATATGACATCAGGCTCAGTTCATATGTCAAGACGTGTCATCTTATATGACATCAGGCTCAGTTCATATGTCAGGACGTGTCATCTTGTATGACATCAGACTCAGTGCTGGAATCAGACAAGTTAAAATGTAGGCCAGTATGACCCGTGTGGCCTGTATGACCCGTGTGGCCTGTATGACCCGTGTGGCCTGTATGACCCGTGTGGCCTGTATGACCCGTGTGGCCTGTATGGCCCGTGTGGCCTGTATGACCCGTGTGGCCTGTATGACCCGTGTGGCCTGTATGACCCGTATGGCCCGTGTGGCCTGTATGACCCGTGTAGCCTGTATGACCCGTGTGGCCTGTATGGCCTGTATGACCCGTGTGGCCTGTATGACCCGTGTAGCATGTATGACCCGTATGGCCTGTATGACCTGTGTGGTCTGTATGACCCGTGTAGCCTGTAAGACCCGTGTTGCCTGTATGACCAGTGTGGCCTGTATGACCCGTGTAGCCTGTATGACCCGTGTGGCCTGTATGACCTGTATGACCCGTGTGGCCTGTATGACCTGTGTGGCCTATATGACACGTGTGGCCTGTATGGCCTGTATGACCCGTGTGGCCTGTATGACCCGTGTGGCCTGTATGACCCGTGTGGCCTATATGACACGTGTGGCCTGTATGGCCTGTATGACCCGTGTGGCCTGTATGACCCGTGTAGCCTGTATGACCCGTGTGGCCTGTATGGCCTGTATGACCCGTGTGGCCTGTATGACCCGTGTAGCCTGTATGACCCGTGTGGCCTGTATGACCTGTGTGGTCTGTATGACCCGTGTAGCCTGTAAGACCCGTGTTGCCTGTATGACCAGTGTGGCCTGTATGACCCGTGTAGCCTGTATGACCCGTGTGGCCTGTATGACCTGTATGACCCGTGTGGCCTGTATGACCTGTGTGGCCTATATGACACGTGTGGCCTGTATGGCCTGTATGACCCGTGTGGCCTGTATGACCCGTGTGGCCTGTATGACCCGTGTGGCCTATATGACACGTGTGGCCTGTATGGCCTGTATGACCCGTGTGGCCTGTATGACCCGTGTAGCCTGTATGACCCGTGTGGCCTGTATGGCCTGTATGACCCGTGTGGCCTGTATGACCCGTGTAGCCTGTATGACCCGTGTGGCCTGTATGACCCGTGTGGCCTGTATGACCTGTGTGGCCTGTATGACCCGTGTGGCCTGTATGACCCGTGTGGCCTGTATGACCCGTGTGGCCTGTATGACCTGTGGCCTGTATGACCTGTATGACCCGTGTGGCCTGTATGACCTGTGTGGCCTGTATGACCCGTGTGGCCTGTATGACCCGTGTGGCCTGTATGACCTGTATGACCCGTGTGGCCTGTATGACCTGTGGCCTGTATGACCTGTATGACCTGTATGACCCGTGTGGCCTGTATGACCTGTGTGGCCTGTATGACCTGTATGACCCGTGTGGCCTGTATGACCTGTATGACCCGTGTGGCCTGTATGACTTGTGTGGCCTGTATGACCTGTGTGGCCTATATGACCCGTGTGGCCTGTATGACCCGTGTGGCCTGTATGACCTGTGTGGCCCGTATGACCCGTGTGGCCTGTATGACCTATATGAACCGTGTGGCCTGTATGACCCGTGTGGCCTGTATGACCTGTGTTGCCTATATGACCCGTGTGGCCTGTATGACCTGTATGACCCGTGTGGTCTGTATGACCCGTGTGGCCTGTATGGCCTATATGACCCGTGTGGTCTGTATGACCCGTGTGGCCAGTGTGGCCTGTATGACCCGTGTGGCCTGTATGACCCGTGTGGCCTGTGTGGCCTATATGACCCGTGTGGCCTGTATGACCTGAGTGGCCTATATGACCCGTGTGGCCTGTATGGCTTGTATGACCCGTGTGGCCTGTGTGGCCTGTATGACCCGTGTGGCCTGTATGACCTGTGTGGCCTATATGACCCGTGTGGTCTGTATGACCCGTGTGGTCTGTATGGCCTGTATGACCTGTGTGGCCAATATGACCCGTATGGCCTGTATGACCCGTGTGGCCTGTATGACCCGTGTGGCCTGTATGGCCTGTGTGGCCTATATGACCCGTGTGGTCTGTATGACCCGTATGGCCAGTGTGGCCTGTATGACCCGTGTGGTCTGTATGACCCGTGTGGTCTGTATGACCCGTGTGGCCTGTATGACCCGTGTGGTCTGTATGGCCTGTATGATCCGTGTGGCCTGTATGACCCGTGCGGCCTGTATGACCCGTGTGGTCTGTATGGCCCGTGTGGCTTGTGTGGCCTGTATGACCCATGTGGCCTGTATGACCCGTGTGGTCTGTATGACCCGTGTGGCCTGTATGACCCGTGTGGTCTGTATGACCCGTGTGGTCTGTATGACCCGTGTGGCCTGTATGACCAGTATGGCCTGTATGACCCGTGTGGCCTGTATGGCCCGTGTGGCCTGTATGACCCGTGTGGCCTGTATGACCCGTGTGGCCTGTATGACCCGTGTGGCCTGTATGGCCAGTATGACCTGTATGACCCGTGTGGCCTATATGACACGTGTGGCCTGTATGGCCTGTATGACCCGTGTGGCCTGTATGACCCGTGTGGCCTGTATGACCCGTGTGGCCCTATACATTCTACAACAAACACGAAGCTAAACACAAAACACAAACAACCGACACATTTCTAGAATCAACATTCATAATTTGTGTCCTGTTTAAAAAAATGGAACCGAAATGTCTGCAATTAACGTGTCAACTTCAAACCACCGTTACAGTCCCATTTTGTTCACCATGAAGTAGAAGTGTTTGCTTATTGTGATGTTTGTCATAGTTTCGCACATTACCATCATCATCATCCACAAAACATCTACATGACACCCACATGACACATCACATGACACCTTAAGGGGGTCAACTGCTTTTGAATCTACTTTGCCTAAAATCAGTTGTTTTACTATTGAACCACTTTAAATTTATCAAGATAGGCTAAGACAAGCTATATTTATTAATTTTTTCAAATTAGTTCACCTATTTCTCATAATCCGGATGTGTTTAGGGGTCTAGGTTCTAAAATATGAGCAACCTCTTGTCACAAATTGTTAAATAACTACAGTGGTTTCACATCTCATCTTCTGCATTTTGGTGCCCATACATGTATTTTATGCACTGACGTTTAGAGTTTGGATAAATAAGGCATAGTTTTTTCTCTGTACCTGTCAATGTGATGGTACTGTAGGCCGCATTCGATATGACACATTTTTTGTTATGTTGTCCACTTATACAACTCATAACTCAGTCCAGTGGTATTATTAACCTATAACTGCTACTTCATTCTTTATATACACCATTTGTAAACACACATACAAATGTTCAAAACAATCCAACAAACGAATTTTGAAAAAAATGAAACATAACAACAGGTATGCTTAATAAAAATTTATTTTGAGAAAAACAGCAAAATAAGATTGATTACAATGGTAAAATAACAAAATGACAACAAAACTAAAAATGACACTTTTATAAAGTAGGTTATTCATAAGTGTCTTCATGAAGTCACATGAAAATTCAAATGGAACAATATTAAATTTTTCACAAATATTTATGTAAGCCCTACCCCCTATTAAAAATCAACCGCAACTTAACTGAAACTTATTTTTGCCACAGTACTGAGATAAAAGTTAATTCTAATAGTAAAAACAAATGCCATTTAGAAAAAAAGAAAGTAGCATAACTGTATATTAAAAAATTAAATGTCAGCCCCTCCTGGTATGTACTGTGGACCCCCTCCTCTAACTCTATTCTTTTATTCTCACGCTCCTCTGCGACACGCCTAATTTTCCTCCTAGCACTTTCATTATTATAAAGAGACCTTTGAGCCTTGCCCACCCTAACAATGTCCCTCTTAGCTCCTATTTCTTTGGTTGTGTTGCCAACGTGCAGGTTTATATGTTGTAAAAAGTTGTGGGAGGCCTTTGACCCCATATTGAATTCCCCCACCCCTAGGCACACCGCTATTTCTAGCGTCTGCCTACCAACAAACAGATGCTTTGGGCAACGACTGCAGGTTGGTAAATAATGATTGTAATGTCTCCAGGCAGACATATGTGGATGGCAAATCAGAATTGCTCACTTTCATCAAAAAAAAAAAGAAAGTTTGCGTTTAGAAGCTGAGATAGAAGGGGAGACAGAAGGCAAGACAGTACTTTCCTGTGTAAGAAGAGGGGAATCACTGTGACTTGGACTTTGAGCAACGGTCGTCGTCATGGATTCTTCTCTTCTTCTCTGCCTGGCCTCTGTCGCTTTGGCTGACTGACGCTTTCTCCTCAGCTTTGACCTAGCCGCTTTGTTTTTAGATGAAACTCTAGATGGAGCCATGACACTGAAATAGTAAGAAATAAGATAATTACTAACTGAACAAGACTTACAAACAGCTAACTTTAAATAATATCCAGCAATACAATTATGGATGACTGAATAATAATCTCAAAAATAAATTTTGTTTGCACATAATACATATGATAAGTATAAAATTGAAACAAATCTACACTCTTATGTCTAGTAATACCTAGATCTAGTAATTAAAATTCATCAGTTATCATTCATATCCCGAGAAATGTAGATAGACATGGGCTATCCCACAACAAAAGTACTAGAAATCTAGATTCTCTAGATCTAATACCAATACTAGATCTAGATCTATACTAAGGAAGTAGATCTAGATCTAGTAATACAGACTAGACTTTCGTGTTGTTTACTTTCACTTTAGCAGACTCTAGCTTCGGGCTTAGATCTAAAAACTAATCACTAGCTAGAGTCCACAATAAATCTAGATCTAGGTCTGTCTAATGTCCAACATAATACAGGTCTGTCTAATGTCCAACATAATACAGGTCTGTCTAATGTCCAACATAATACAGGTCTGTCTAATGTCCAACATAATACAGGTCTGTCTAATGTCCAACATAATACAGGTCTGTCTAATGTCCAACATAATACAGGAGCCTGTCTAATGTCCAACATAATACAGATCTAATGTCCAACATAATACAGGTCTGTCTAATGTCCAACATAATACAGGTCTGTCTAATGTCCAACATAATACAGGTCTGTCTAATGTCCAACATAATACAGGTCTGTCTAATGTCCAACATAATACAGGAGCCTGTCTAATGTCCAACATAATACAGATCTAATGTCCAACATAATACAGGTCTGTCTAATGTCCAACATAATACAGGTCTGTCTAATGTCCAACATAATACAGGTCTGTCTAATGTCCAACATAATACAGGTCTGTCTAATGTCCAACATAATACAGGTCTGTCTAATGTCCAACATAATACAGGTCTGTCTAATGTCCAACATAATACAGGTCTGTCTAATGTCCAACATAATACAGGTCTGTCTAATGTCCAACATAATACAGGTCTGTCTAATGCCCAACATAATACAGGTCTGTCTAATGTCCAACAAACATAAAAACAAACAAGCATGAAACAAGAGCGGATAGGATAGCCAGCGTTAGATTGTTACTATAAATAGCTTGCAACACTCGAACTGTCGGGCAGGTTCAGGAAAACAAATTGAACGTCGCATGCTATCTCGTGCAGCAGAAGATGTGTCTCTGATGTGTCTCGTGTGTCTCTGATGTGTCTCGTGTGTCTCTGATGTGTGTCTCTGATGTGTCTCGTGTGTCTCTGATGTGTCTCGTGTGTCTCTGATGTGTCTCGTGTCTCTGATGTGTCTCGTGTGTCTCTGATGTGTCTCGTGTGTCTCTGATGTGTCTCGTGTGTCTCTGATGTGTCTCTGATGTGTCTCGTGTGTCCCTGATGTGTCCCTGATGTGTCTCTGATGTGTCTCGTGTGTCTCTGATGTGTCTCTGATGTGTCTCTGATGTGTCTCTGGTGTGTCTCATGTGTCTCTGATGTGTCTCGTGTGTCTCGTGTGTCTCTGATGTGTCTCGTGTGATCTGTCTCGTGTCTCTGGTGTGTCTCGTGTGTCTCTGATGTGTCTCTTGTGTCAATGATGTGTCTAATACGTGTCAAGATGATCATGTGACCTCGAGGAGAACCCCGCCATGTTTGATGGCCGGGCTAAAGCTGGGCCACTAAATAGCTGGCCACTTCCGGCTCAAATGTCAGGCGACTTCCGGCCACTGCTAGTAGACTTCCGGCTAATATGTAGGAGGCGATGTGCGACCAAAATATGTGAAGCGACTTCCGGCTGGTATATGCGAAGAAACTTCCGGCTAATATATCTGAAGCAGTTTCCGGCTAATATATCTGAAGCGACTTCCGGCTAATATATCTGAAGCGACTTCCGGCTAATATATCTGAAGCGACTTCCGGCTAATATATCTGAAGCGACTTCCGGCTAATATATCTGAAGCGACTTCCGGCTAATATATCCGCAATAAAACTATTTTGGGCGACTCCCAGCTAATACGTATCAGGCGACTGCCGACTAAAACATGAGGTCCGAATGACAACGTCAGCCGACGACCCGTGTATATCTGTGGTGAAACACGCATGGCCGGAACGCGGTTAGTTTCTTTGTGTAACAAAAAGTGCTGTCAAGTTTGTCACAAATGTAACAGTAAATGTCCGGATTGTCACAAATGTAACAGTAAAACGTGCTGTCCGGATTGTCACAAATGTAACAAATTTCAGAATGTTGTCACACAATAATGAAATGTTTCCAGCTTGTTTGTTAGCATCGAACCAATTTAAAAATAGCCAGTGTAGAATGACGCCCACCCGGTCTTCATAAATATTTATCTGGCCTCCATTGAACCAAACCTTCTCCATAATCCTGGCCATTTCTAGCACAAGCGGCCATTGACACGAGATGGCCAGAGAATAGAAGATGGCCCTTGTCTGTCCTGACTAAGGGTGCCTCAGGGCCAATGGTAATGGAATAAAGGGGGGGGGTTCAAGGGGTCTGCTGTCATATGTCGCGGCAATTATACTCGGACTCTATTGCTATGCGACCAGATTTAGTAGTAAAATGACATGTTAATAAGAAATGAGCTAGGCAATGAAGGGGAGTCTGAATGCCGAATGCGACAGCCATTTGTGAGCTGTGTACTATCCGAATTCTCTTCTGTTTTTGTGGCGGAATGAAAACATCGCTTCCGTTTTCTCCAAGTTTTGATGAGTCAATGTGGACAGAAGACTTACACTTCGTAGAGGCTAAAGTTTTACTTTCATATTTCTAAAACTGTCACTCCTAGACATTTTGTCGTCACAAAGTCACAAGATGGTGCCATATTTACTGAAATTGACCAAGTTACACACTGCGGTCATATTTGTTGAAATTGACCAAGTTACACACTGCGGTCATATTTGTTGAAATTCACAAAGGCGATGGTGCCAGTGGCGGAACTAGAAAAAAAAGGGCCACCCCGCAAAAAACTGTTAGCCCCCCCCCCCCTATATATATTATATAGGCCTATATATGATATATATATATATATATATATATATATATATATATATATATATATATATATATATATATATATATATGTATATATATATATATATATACATATATATATATATATATATATATATATATATATATATATATATATATATATATATATATATATATATATATATATATATATATATATATACAATCACAAAATACAAAAAATAGGATACTCATTGCTGGCCTGTTCGGG